GGATGCAGTCCTCGGAACCTGCCGACCTGTCACTGAGAAGCTTTACCCTGAAAGATGTCCCGACCCCGGGGGCCTCCGCGTCTTCGCGTTGCCGCCGCAGCTCGGCCGAAAGGCTCGCCCTCTCGGCCTCGAGTGCACCTGGCACACAGGGCCGCGGCTTTTTGCTGGCAGCGTCGATCAGTGATGTGGAGTACATGCTTGAACGGCTTGAAAGGCTTTCCGTATTGATGATGTGGAATCTCTGTCGCCGATCTCAGGAAAAGACGTGGCTCAATCTTTGGCTATGAGTAATCGGGACTGTGCCTGTTCCAGAGACTTGGACGGATTGAAAGCGGATGGCCCCCACAACAATGAAGGCAACACAGACGTGACTGTAGTAGCTCCTCTTCCGCTCCCCCTGTGCGGCTTCTCAGCCCGCCTTCCCATGTTCCCTTACCCTCTCTCTCTTCTTTCCGTCCTCTCCTCTTGAAGGGAGCGACGCCGCTCCCACACCCACACTTGGAGCTGGCTTCGATTCACAGCGCAAGTGTGTGGAGCCTTGTCGCTGGCGCAGCAGATCCACATCGTCGTGGGCGGCAAGCGGGCGCTTGTGCTGCAAACCTCGACCAGGATGCCAAGTGGAAGCGAGAACATGCACAAGATCTATTCCTGCGGTTTCAACATGGTATTTGCTGGATTGTTCCTATCGTGTTCGTCGATCACCGCGCTTCAGACCAGAGGAGCTTGTAAACTCCAAAAATGCTGCTGGGGACACCAAGCGAATATCATGAAGGCTTCGCATGCATCGGCGTTTTCCCGGCCGTGGACGGCAAACGCCAGCAATCACTCCGCGAGTCTGTGTTTCCCGCACTGTCTCTGATGCCTGCTGCACCAGGACTTCGAAGACCAGCAGTAACATCATATCCGGCCATACGTTGATGAGAAGAATGACGGGGTTGCAGAGGCCAGCGGCAAAGACAATCTTGCTGCAAGTGGTACTATGTGCAGAGTTTGATTCTGGTCATGGCGCGTTTTCACCGTGTGATCGTATCACAAATTCAGATGTGCAGTTGTTGTGTTAAGTCTTGGTTTTTTCGCTACTGCTGATTTTGCCACTGCCCTCTTCCTATGACCATTCGTAGTGCTAGTACTGTAATCAGTATGCTAACTTATGATTATACTTTATCCATGATTGGCTGAGAGTTTTACTGTTCCTGAAAATTTTAAATCCTGAGCGTTCGTTACTATACGAGACCCTAAACCCTAAATGCCAAGAAATTCGTATCCTTAGGCCGGCCCCAGACCCATAACCCGACGTCGTAAAATCCTAGATATTGGCTCTTTATTAGGAGCAGCCCTAAACCCCCCCCAAAGCCTACACATTCGTTAATTTCGTTTAGGGTTTAGGGCCACACTCATCCCTAGCATCCCAAAACCCAAAACCCTAGTTTACTAAACCCTTATAAACCTTATAATCCCTAAACCCTAAACCGACAAAGCCACAGAAGTGCCAAGCCACGCTTCAGCTCGGCCTCCGCGGCCTGGTGAAGGATTGAGAAGAAGTATACGGCTTTAGGTTTAAGGTTCTGGGTTACAGGCTTAGGATCTACGGCCTGGCTTCTTGTTGTTGTTCTTATTCTTCTTGGCGCCTGTCTGTTTCGCATTTCAAGACTAACATCATTGGAACACTTTAATCAAAATTTGAAGCCTTGTGTCTGCTGTTCCTGTTTTGCATTCCGTAGAGTGGAGGTCCTGGAGGTTTGGGGTTTAGGGTTTCGCGTGAAGGCTTAATGTGGATCCTATGCTACTCTTGTTGCTAGCCTCTCTGGATGCGCCACTGTAGATACCAGCCAATCGGTAGAATGGAAGGACGAAAGAGAGAGAGAGAGAGAGAGAGAGAGAGAGAGAGAGAGAGAGAGAGATAGAGAGGGAGAGAGGGAGAAAGAGAGAGAGACAGACAAATAGAGCGGGAGAGAGAGAGAGAGAGAGAGAGAGAGAGATACAGAGGGGAGGGGAGGGGAGCGGGACCGAGAGACAAGACAGACAGGCAGAGGTACATGATCGATAACCTGGGTTGGAAGTCGACTGACCCGGCAGAAAGCTCAGCTGAAACAACTTGTCATGCATGATACTAGGCTGCTGAGGGCTTGGGGATTTTAGTTGAGTCTTAAGCTGGAAGGCAGCTGCAAAAACTCTGAGCAATGGCAGCTTGATCTGAACAGGCATTTCCAGGGCAAAGGGAAAACCGATTCTTCCCTGCCCCGATCTCAACTCTCCGTGCCTCGGCCCTGATCACTGCCGCGTCACTCTCGCGCTGCGCTGTCAGGGCGGCGCGCTGCAACCGGGCGCAGCGGCGCTCTGCGTCGGTGACCCGGGCCTTCGAAGGAGGCTGATGTCTGCGCTGCGACACTGAGAGTCCATCCGGACGAAAATGCGAACCACAAGCGTGGGTAAGAACAGTTGCGCAAAAGTACGGGTCAAACAACAGTAGGAGTAACTACGCTATATTGTGACTGCTCCCGGCCTCCGATGTAAATTCTGCTAGCCTGTGTTCTCTCGATTATTTGGGTTGTTGCAAAACGAGAGATGCCTGACCCGGGTGGTTGACGCTTCTGCATTGGACGTCCAACGAATGCCGACATTCAATTTCTGGAAATCCACCCATGGAGCGGATGAGCACAGTCAGATGTGAAGTTTTCCCGGCATGCCATGTAGACGACATGCATCATCAATAAAGGGCCTGCGCGTCCTCAATGAACCGCTCGTTCTGCTTCAGCTGCAGTTGAAACCTCAGCAGCATGGTGTACCAACAGACATGCATTCGAGCAAACTTGCGCGTGACTTGTACGGCCAAGAAGCACAGACACCGTTTCCAGCAAAGTCTGCACGCGGTGCCCCTGCTCGAGGCATGTCTCATGATTTGGGGCATGCAGAGCCCCCCGTTTTTCAGTTCCCTCCGCACAGCAAGAGACTCGGAGCACCGACAAGCACTGGGAAATGTTCGAGGAGGCAAGAGAACAGGTTGATCAACACCTAGCTCGACTTCTAACAATCAGAGAACTGTGGTACTTCTTCTCAAAGTATCAAATTCTCCGCAGATGGAAATCCCGCACCCGGGCAAGCAATACAAGGGCCTTGATAATTTTGACGTAGGGTTTTGGTTTGCTGTATTTCATGTACAAGCTACAAACAGAACAAGGAACCTTAGGGACGAAGATCAGGATGATTTTCCGGCTTCCAAAGTACCCTGCTTGGATCTTGGCACTGCCGGCTCTTGGAAGGGTTGAACGGCGGCCGGGAAGACAAGGCCCCAGAGATTCTGGGCCCTCTTCAAGAGAGTCAGAGAGGAGCCCCAGGAAACTCCGAGTGAAACTCATCTTCACGACACTTGCCCTGGCCTCGCCGCCCATGCCAAGGGGCCGATGGCACCGAGGCTCTCCGGAAGTCTAAATGTCGGTCCTTTTGCGGATGCTTTGCATGTGGGTTATCTCTGCCACCCCTGAAGGCGCACTCGTAGCAACGATAGGGGGCTACCATACCGTCTTCGCCATTGTGGCCATGGAGCCGCTAGGATGCTCGGATCGAACTCCCAAGCAACGACTCCCAAAGGTCGACACTCTCCAAGTTGTGTCACGAAAATACGAGGCGTGTACTGACGGACGTAAGGTCTAAGATCAGGGAAGCCCCCCCGACCACAAACAAATGCAGAGGAGTCGGAACTGCAGGGCCACGGTCTCCCCCTCAGCGCCTTTCCCTCGCATGCTCGAGTCTGCACTGTGCGCACTGCATACGGGAAAGCTAGGAGACCAGGAGCACTGCAGTGGCCTCAACTGCCCTCATGGGTCAGGAGTCTGAGAGGGAAAGTCAAGGTCTACTCAGCTTTGGCTTAGTGCTTGCATTTTGCCAGATGCATGGGGGGGCACAACGTGGAAATCCACTGATCCAAAAAGGTTCGGCAAGGTAACTTAGTTGAGGCACGGCAGCAAAATAACAACCACAGGATCTGGGCTTCTTCCATGAAGTGAAGTTTCATTGGCTCAATTCAGGCATGCGGCGAAGAAGCCCAATTCTGGTTGCTGACGACGAGACGTCACTATGTTCAGTGTCTGTGCTTGGTGGATGTGGCCTGCTATAAATGAAGCAGCTGTATCTCCATTCCCCAAAGTTCGAGGTTCGCTGGAAACTCTCTTCAGTCAGATGAAGTTCGACGAGGAGCTACAGGTGCAGGCTGGCTAAGTCAGGGCTTGGGCGCATAGTGGCCCAATGCCCGTGGGAAAGTCAAAACGCTGCACCAAGCATATGCAACGCAGGAGCTGCCCGTAAATCGGCGAGCTCGAGCTCGCACGCTGCAACTGGCAGAAATCTTGCCACTCGCAGATCTGGTCGCTGTCAGATTTTGGCTTTTTTAGCGGCGCTGCTTGCAGCTCAAAGGGTAGTCAGCTCGAAAAGGGCTTTGCGAAACTAATTACCGCCTTCAATTGGCTGATCGTTCAAAGCAGCAGAAACCCACAAAACCGCTCAAAAGCCGACAGCGCGAGTGGTCGAATCCTGTGGCAGCTCAGGCATCGGACTGCGTTCAAAGGCCACCCGTGCCTGCTTTGGAGACCCTTTGCTTCGTGACTTCGAGTCTGAACTCCTGGGTCCTTGCTGTAGTACTTACAGGATCATGGGACTTAGTAAGTAAGGTTCTAAGTACCCATATTGGTGTTATTATTAAGTATAAGTATAACCATAGCTACCTTACTTATAACCCTAGTTACTAAGACCCGTGATCCTCCAAGTAAGCCTCTTAATTTTTTTAGGGCCAGGCTTAAACTTCGTGTGCTCACGAGGAATCAGAAGGGGCTACCTGAGTTCCACAAGTGCCAAAAAGCACGAAACAAACCTGCAGCCCGACTTCCTTCTTCTCCCCAGATTTCTGCCCCGAAGCCAACACTGCCTTCGTCCTTCCATGCCGACAATACGAGACAAGCTGATTAGACTCTGAGCAGCTCTGTAAAACTTCCCCTGCCTCCACTTTCCTAGTCCACAGGGAGTGCGGTGCGCCGGGTAAGCGCCCGGAGGAAGAAGTCCATGCTGGTCCTCCAAGGAAGCAGAATGCGGGCAGCTTGTGAAGATTTGAAACTCAGAGACCCCCAAAGCTTCTGCAAGGCTACCTGATAATTTCCTGACACTGAGATCGTCTGCAGACTACCGGCTCCTCACAGCTCGGGCAGCAACCCACTCGGCCGCTGTATTCTTGGTCGCCTGGCTACTGCTACGGTTGCGAAGCTTGACGGCTTGACTCGGGCATGCAGCTGCGAAAATGGCCTCCGCACCGCGCTTCAGCGCCACGCGCATGGCCACGGAGGCCTTTGACCTTGCCTGGCAGGCTTATAAGGCGCCACTTCGTGAGCCATTAGGTCACAGTGTTATGGCGGGTTGGCCCAGGAGTTTCGGCTTGGGTCCCTTATACTCATGCCACACGCTGAATGAAGCTCGGGACCGGCTCCGAGGCGGCTCTCGCACTAGCGGCTAGCTTCTAAGAGGAGATTCAAGACACATGACATGGAGAAACGACCAGGCCAGATTAAAACGTTCAAAAGCGTTGCATTTCTTGCAGACTATGTTTTCCAAATCAATTTACATTGAGGGGCTTGGAAGCATTACCTCTAACCACTCCAGCCCTCGCAGTACCTGTGAGCTCATGTGCGGGAAGAGGAAGATCACGCGGTAGTCAGATTCCAGATGCTCGCGCTTCTCTTGCCAAAGGATGGTAAAGGACTGGCAGAACCTCAGCAGCTAGCAAAACCCCATGCTTCAACGAAGCAAATGACGCACAAGATCTGTGCAGCAGCAGCAGCAGCTGCAGCAGCTGCTGCAGTGTTGCGATAGTTGAACTGTCGGCGCAGATGAAAGGTAGCGTCCCAGCAATGGTGCTTTCGCAGAGTTTCTTCGGGAGAGGCCAGTCACGGGCACATGCTGGCTCAAATCTTGCATGCTAGATCTGCTAGATGGCATATTTGCCTCGACTGGGGCCAAGACAAATGACCTGGCGAGGACAGCAGCACATGAAATGCAGTTAGCTGTCGGTCGAAAAGCTGTCGCTGCACAACTCCGAGTGCTTTCTCTGGAATCACACTGCTGAACCGGAGGAAGAGTTGCCCAGCCTAGTACGCCCCCCACGGCGACGGAGAGAGGCACCAGCGAATCCATGGGCAAACGCCTCACAAAGAAGGCTTAAAGGGTCGTGGAATGAAGTAGCAGAACCTGCGTAGACCTGTCTGGGCCTCTCAGACCTCCAAGGATATAGTCACTGAAGATCCAAATCCCTGAGGCGAGGGCCCGAAGGACTGCGGCTGCTGAAGCACGTAGAAGACTAAGGGGATGAGACCGCCGACGAGGGCCCCATACCTTTCCGAGAGACTTTGGGCTCCCCGCGGTGTGCAAATTTCACAGCTCCCGGTCCGACGCCCACCGGACCGCATCGAACACTTTTGACCAACGACGCAATCTCTGAGAGATGATGGCCAGTCTTATCTAGCGTCGGGACTTATAAGGTAGGTTGGATTCTGCTTGCAGCTTTGTTCAATTTCTTTTCCACCTGCTGGGGACCTGGCTGACGAAGCCAGAGGATCATGCCTGAAGCATTTGGCAGAGGTTGTGCAACGAACCCTGTTCCGAGGAGCCACCTGAACCGACCTCGTCCTCAAGCCGAATCTTGGCATCCCTTCGTCCGATACGCTGGATGACAAAATCTTACTCCGGTTGTCGCAACTGTGTGGATAATCAGATTGTCGGCCAACATGTGGCTCTCAGACCGCGCTGCCCAAAATCATGTACCACCTGACCGTACCTGACCAGTTCTTGTACTTAGTTGCTTCACAGTCACAGTAGGAATGTGACTCTCATAGCCTGAACTGTGTGTGGCTTCAGATGACTACACAGGCATGGGACATGGATAGCAGACGGTTCTGGGCGAGGCACAGCACCACCATGGCGTGGGGGAGACCTCCCGCCTGGCGTGCAAGGAATCTTCTCGGGGATGTTGTTTACGGCTTCGAGTCAAGGATTAAAGTTCCTTGGTAAGCACTGATCCGTGAATAATTTTCCACTCGAGGCATAGGCAGACACCTTTTTGGTCATGCTCGGCTTCTCACTACTGACAGGCAGCGAAGAAGCACAACAACAAATAAAAGCATCCAAGCTATACTGCCCTTCAGCAGCAAGACATGCCGGCTTGTCAAGAAAGTCATGGTTCGCGGCTGCTGCACCACTGCCTCAGGGCCCCAGATCATGTCTGTACATGTTACGTATTATGAGCCTTCGTGTCCTTTCCAGGTTTTCGTCGCTGTCTGAGCTGCGAGCGAACGCCCCCATCAGCAGCAAAGTGATGCCGCCTATGAAAGCCTCTTGCCACGCACGGGTCAGACAGTGCGATACGTGCAGCGACGATGAGATTTCTTGGATTTCCGGCCACGCATGCATCCTCGCCCTTGGGGTCCCTCGCAGCTCTCTCGCTGCTGCACCCGCCTTCCTGGCCCCGAGCAACCGCAGCAGAACGGACCGGCCTGGGAACTCTCGTCGCTCGTCGCTATTTAGTCACGCAAAGCTACTGTTCTATGTGGTTTTTGGCAAGTTCCCTGCCCCAGCGGTCGAAACTGCCAGACCATAAATAAACGCAAGGAATCTTGGCTGCCAGCGCTGGAGGAGCTCGAGCACACGAGCCTGGCCGTAGAGCTGCACGTGAGCAGCAGGAGGCACGATGCCCTTTTGAAGCTGTGTCCCTTTCACTTAGTCATCATCTCCCCATGCCCCTGTCGTGGGAGGCTTGCTGTATTTTTCCTGAGCATCCTTGCTTGCCGGCCTGCGCAGCAGCTGCGACCAAACCCGCGGCAAATGCCAGAGTGCGATACTCCACAAGCCTCCGAAGACCATGCTTGGAGGTCAGCAAAGCCATGGAAGCAAAGCAGTCGTATGGCAGTTAAAGCAACATGTCATCGCCAACAAAAACTGAGTCACGCATCCTGGCTCACAGGAAGCACCATACCAGCAGCTCTTGCGATCCTCCCAGGGCCCCCGACGTGGCGCCAGTGGAACTCAAAGCTGGGCCCAAGAGCCGAAGGCTGTGCAGCCCGCAAACTCGGCCCATGATCTCCTTAACAAGGACTACAGGGCCTAAGACTTCCAGACTTTCAAGACTTTCCATTCTCCCCCTTGTTGGGGTCCTTGCAATAATGAGGGTCCTGGCCATGAGGGGTGAACGGGAGTCTACCTGCTGAACTCTTCGAGCGGTGGGCAAGCCCTGTTGCAAAACGAGCTCGACGAAACCCTGGCAGCCCTCACCCTCAGAACCTAAATTTCGTCGCAGGCTCCTCGAGGACGAAGTCGATGCAAAGCCCCATCCACAGCCACTGCCGGTATCGCATCACCTGCTCCCGGCCTCAGGAAACACAGCTTGGGACATCGCAGCCTGGATAGTTTCAGCGTATGCGTGTGTGTATGTGTGTGTGCGCATCACAACCTCAGCAAGGCAGTGGTCAGCTTTGCTCCAGGCATGCTGCAAATCTGGGTGGTGCCTCGCGCAGCGCCAAAAAACTAGAGCATTAAAATGTTGGTCATCATGAAATCACGTTCCGCAAAGACTCGAATAGCCATCAAAAGACACACCCCCGGCCTATGCTTTTCTGCACATGTGTGCTTTTCGTGTATTTTCAATAAGGTATATGTATACATATATATATATACATATGTATATAGAGAGAAAGAGAGAGAGAGAGAGAGAGAGAGAGAGAGAGAGAGAGAGAGAGAGAGAGAGAGAGAGAGAGAGAGAGAGAGAGAGAGAGAGAGAGAGAGAGAGAGAGAGAGAGAGAGAGAGAGAGAGAGAGAGGGAGAGAGAGAGAGAGAGAGAGAGAGAGTGGGAGAGAGAGCGAGCGAGAGAGAGAAAGAGTCAGAGAAAGGAAGAGCAATTACATAAGAGAGCGAGAGAGGGCGAAAGAGACAGACAGAAAGAGAGAGAGAGAGAGAGAGAGAGAGATAGAGAGCACGAGAGAGAGATAGAGAGCACGAGAGACAGAGAGAGAGAGAGTGAGTCTGGTCCCGCCTGCCCATCTAACGCCGCGTCGTCAGCCTGGTCACCGGCCCATCGCAGGAAGCCACTTGCCTCGTGGCTCAATTGTATTGGCTGGACCCTCACGAGTATATGGCACAAACGAGCCAGTGTTCAAGAGTAAAGCAGTGGACAAAAATACGTGTAAGGGCTGCACCAAGTTAAACACCCCAAGCAGGCAGAAAAAGTAGGCCTGCCGGGGACTGGCAATTGAACTCAACTCATGGTAAGTTGTGCACAAGCATCAGCAGCATCAACCAGACAGGCCTCGTTGGCTCCCTGAAGGATACTACGTGTCGCAAGGCAGATGGAGATGCCGGGTATAAGAACGTAGAGGACGAAGACCAAGGTGGCCTGGCCAAGGCCAAGTGGAGTCGCACCAACTGGGCCGGCACCACGAAACCACATGAACTGCGCTAGGTGCTGCATGAAGTCACCAAAGAAATCGCACACATTGTGCATAACATGCTGTGTAGGGGCCGGAATGCTGAGGAAGTTGTCCAGATTCTGCTGCACCTGAATCCGCACATTCCCCACAAACTACTCATTCGTAGAGCTTGGGGCTCAGGGGCTTGTCTGCCTAAGGGGCCCTCCAACAAGGAGCATCAGCGCTTGAACAGAAGGCAGGGATGTGCAAGATGCAAGCTCTGTTGCACATGGTTGCACGAACGATGGTACCCCCTCATAAGGCGCATGCCCACACCACGCCCAGCACTCCCAGGACCTGTCAGGGCTCACGTGATCCCTTGGAAACTTGTGAAAGACGTGGGTATTCGTCTTGGAGTCTGGGGCATGATGAATCTGTTCCACTCCAGGCTTTGTCCCAAACCAGCTTGCTGAGGTTCGATAGCCCGCGCTTCGTGGCATGTCCAGGACTCTGCCGCAAAGAACATTTCAGGTGCACGCATGCTTTGCAGAGCTGCGCCAAACGGCCTGGAGAACCAGCGCGGCAATGACGATCACTGCCAGCGGAATCTCCTCAGTCATCTTACAACGCTTTGAGGAGGCCACAGCTTTCGTGTTCGTCTCGGAAGCTTCGAGCACTCTACAATTTGGGCTCTGGCCAAGCGCTGCGCCAGGAGGGGATAGACCTTGCGCGACACGAGCCTTTTAATGGGAACGGGCGGAAAAAGTCTCATGGTTGAAATCAGGACAGGTAGTTCTGGGTAGTGAAAATAGGAACAGTAAACGCAGCTGACTCGTCGCCACTTCGAAGATGCTTCCTGATTTCATTCGTGCCGGTACGAGCTGTAGTAGCAGTAGTAATAATAGTAGCAATCGTGCTCTTAGTAGTAGTAGTCGTCGTCATAGGCCTGGTGGTAGTTGTAGTGGTAGTGGCAGCGGCCACGGCAGAAGCAGCAGCAACACAAGCAGCAACAGTAGGAGCAGCAGCAGGAATAGATCTCGCTCCTAGATTCGGCAACCTAATTCTCATAAGACAAGTATACTATAATCCCCCTCAAGGACCCCTCCCTCGCCGCCCTCGCCTTGGCGAAGACGAAGCGTGCGGCAGACATGAAGATGGGAAGCAGCCTCGGCTCGGCGTCTCTCGCGACTCGGGAGCAAAGCTCTTCGGGATCCCAACAGGAACCCCTGAGACTAAAAGAGCGGCAGAACTACGGGGCCATTAATGATTAGAATAGGGTTTGAGTTTGGGGTGTATGAAATAACTATGACAAGGACCGCGAAAGTAGTTTAGGTAATTAAGACCCCTATATAAGCGGATCCTGGGGGTCAGCTTCCAGAAGTTTGGCTCCGTGGAGACTCCCAGGTGCCCGGCCAGAGAGCAAGGAGTCCGCCCACCACAATGGGCCTCTCCTCCAAAGCCATAGGCCGGAAGACGACCTCGAGCGGGGATGCTTACAAAAATCCGGTCGGGACCCAGGCTTGTTTTGGTCCCCTGCTTTGATGCCTGCACTGAAGCTCACTTATTGCAGAAAGGATAGGCTTTCGCCGCCTTCCCCCCGCAGTCCGACGGGCAACACATCCCGATGAACCCGCAACTCCGCCTAGGGCCTAGCATGCCTGTCTCATATACCAGCTGGATGCATTGTTCAGCCGTTTCTCCGAGCGAGATGTTGAGCCTTCCAAGCGTGGAGGATTACACCGCCTGCCGCAGATCTTCCATGACGGACCGAGTGGACCGCTCGGGCAAAGCACCGCGAATGTGAGGTCCCGGCTAGTGCCACCTTCACGGGCGTCGCAGCTTCAGCCACTAAGGCGTCATCTGCAAAGGCGGAAGGCTCGTCGCTGTTCAGGTTCGTCGACACTATTAAGCAGCGGAGGAGTCGTAGGTACATTTCACAAGAACGGCATAGCAGCATAGCAATGTCGCAAACCACATCTTGCTATGCAGACAACATAGCCAAAAATGGAGGTGTTGGGACTATGACAAGGGCTTCACTGGACTTCTTCTCCAAGCACCTTGAATCCAAAAGGGGCCCCAGCCCATCTCCAGAGCCTGAGGACCCCAGCCCGGCCCCGCTCCTGCCAGCTGCTCTGTGAGGGCAGCGCCCTCGGAGGCCGCATCCTGGCACCAAGAATATTGGACCCGGACTGCCTCTTTTCTGGATGATGTTCTATAGATACTGTACTCCTCTCTTTAAGCGCGATCCCGACTCCTCACCAAGCCCGACAGGGGGGACACGCTCAAGTACACCCAGAAGACTCTTTTCCTGCCTTGGAGCTGTTTTTCAGCAGCCTGCCGGCTACTTCCAAGAGGCCGACGACCTGCAATGACCAAGGTTCAAGGTTTTACACTGTTGTTGATGGTTCGGTTTCGGCTGCACGATGTTCACCCAGCATGCTTGTGGTGGTGGTGGCTTAAGGTCCTGCCTGCCCCGCGCTTTTCAGCCCTGTAGCGCGCACGAAGGTTTCCTGCACAGAGGGATCTCTGCAGGTCGCAGCGCTTTGAGTCTCGACTCCAGCAGACGAGCTGGCGACAGACAAGTTCAAGACGTCCATTGACACAACTGGGCTTTGATTCAAAGAACAGTGCGACTTCCAAAAAGGGTTCTCGGCAAGCCTCTGAGCACCTAGAGACTCAGAGTCGAGTGCAGTGCAAGCAGAGAAACCAGGCAGCATGACCGCGAGACGTGGTTGCAGAGAAGACTAGGAGTCCTTGGCCAAGGCCCGGGACACGAGCAGCGCCACACGCCGGGAAGATACGACATCCTGCGGTGGTCGCGCACAGCCAGAGATAAGACCACGAGTCTGGAACCGTCCTCGGCACCGCCCAGCACGCCGGGGTTTAGTACCGCGCTCTGGTCTTTCACCACGTAGCCTGCAATCTCGTTTTCAAGCTCGCAAGATGGCTCGCACATGCGGATGTCTGATGCTGAATTCTGTGCTCGGTTCGGGATGCCTCCTGTTTTGGGTTCATGGCTTGGTGTCAACAATGTGTCAAAGCAATTGCTTCGAGTTATCGGTCTCAGAGTCCTTAGACGCTCCTTCTCTGAGCAAGATATGCATGATCTTCAGATGATCTTGCACCATACTGTCCTGTGTGTTAAGGCTTAGCCAGAGAGGTCGAATCGCCGACTTCCGAAAACAGCATTCCACGAAACTTGAACAGCCCACCTGGCTGAACTTCATGTTGACATTGGGCTTAACGGCTGTATGACAGTGCGGCAAATCGCTGGTCAAATGCCTTGCTGCGAGCTCGCAGACCCGGTTCCCGCTGCAGGCACCTGTGACATCGCAGATGATCAGCGTCAGCATACTTTGGACGTTGCTACTGCGCTTGCCTGTGACCAAGGGCCTACAGTACTACGCGGTGAGCCTTGGGTTGGGTATATACATAACGGGCATCGTTCTCGGGAGCTGTTCAAAGCGACCTTCGTCGGGGCCAAAATGTCTTGGCTCGTTGTCCTGCCTATGTCCCAAGCTCCGCTAGTAGCGCTAGCTGGTAGCTCCAGAGACGGTTGCCAAGGCGCGGCCGGTGCAGCCGGGGTTCCAGAGCCCCCCGGAACGAGGCATGTGAGGATCAAGGCCTGCCTGGCCCACACAGTGTATCTGTCACTGGCCGAGCATTTGGCACGACGGAAAGGGACAGTGGCTCGGTTTTGCTAATTACGCTTCCTTCGCACCTGTGACGGTGCGTTCCTGTCTTTCAATTTCACCTACCACAGGGATCGGCGATAGATTCAGGAATTTCAGGCTGGATGTCGGGACGATCTTCAAACGAACACTGAACAGAAGTTGCTGAATTCGCACTGTCACTGTGCAGAAATGCTGAACATCCGAAGAACCCGGGCTCCAGGACTGCCTTGGGCCTAAGCCAACCAAAACTCAGCCTCATGTGCCGCAAACGTGCTGCCGGGTTACGTCTCGGGGCTGCGAGTATCGTGACCTGCATGCTACAAGCGGTGAAGGCTCCTAGCTGAGTGCGCGTTGCTAGACGAGCCGCCATAAAGGTGCGCAACCAACGCGCAGCGCCGGATGCTTCTCCAAAGCCTCGGCCGTCGACTTCATGACCGTATGATTTGCTTGATCGTTCTCGTGACTGCTATGCTTGTTCATTTGTTTGGACTGTTGCTGCTCGTGATGTCATCGGTATGCTATGCGAGCAGTCACTGCATGACCAACGCAGGGACAGGAACTCTCGAAGCAGCACTGTGGAGCATCCCACCACGGGCACCTGGAGACAGGCAGTCAGGGTTACATGACAAGTGTGCTGCGTGGTTAAGGGCATGGGTTTAGGACATGCGCTACTCTGTGCTACTCACTCAGACTCCATTCCGCTGGTTGCAGGAGCTGCAGAGCTGCCTGCTGGATGAGGAAATCTGGCAGCTTGGTCCGCCAGGTGTCGTCGTCCTCGATTTTCGCAGCCTCCAACACAGCGGCACGGCCTGGCTCATTGCACATTGGGCTAGTTGCCGCATTTTGGAAAGGCCTGCTGGAAGCTCACACCGATAGTCCCTCCATGTCACGAAGAGGGTCATGGAGTCAAGAAAGCAGAGGTGGAAGATTGAAGGATCGCCAGCGCGACAGTCGCCATGGTGGGCATGAAGCAGCTCCTCGGCCTGTTCCTTGGAGCACCGGAACCCTTGTATAGGCGTATGCTGAGCATTGAGACTTCTTTTACAAACACAAGAGGACCTTCACAGTTCTATGTCGCGAGTCTTTAATCCGGATTGAATGGTAGGCATGAGCCGGCAGCAGGCACACCGGCATGTCCAAATCAATCCAATCAAGTCGCTGCCACGGAGGGAATTCGCACCGAAGGCAGCCGCACCCCGGCGGTGGCCTGCGGCCGTGCACTGGTACAAAAGCGGAAAAGCAGTTGTGCGACAACAGCAGGTCACATGCTGCTGTGGCATGCTCTGGCGGCATTGGGTGAACTGCAAGCATGGACGAGCCGGGGGCAGGCAGGCGACTCCACCCGAAAGTCTGCGGCGGAAGGCGCACTGCCGACGAAGTCCGGCGCACAGCCCAACATATGCGGGTGCTGCTACGCGAGTTGTAAGAGCCACATCCTGAATCCCCTCAGTCCCTCAATGCAGTACCCGACTTGAAGGGCTTGGGCTTTTGGCGTCTCCCAGCCCCTCAAGCAGGGGCGAGAAGCTCAGAGGGCGTAGTTCAGGGAAGCTCTTCAGTATGAAGGGTCTTTCGGTCTTCCTTGGAACTTAGATGAACTTAGCACCCGGCCTGGTCGATGGTGAAGGCGAGGACGGACTCCAACTTCTTGGAGAAGTCCTCTCAGGAGCTGATGTTGAGTAGGCCGTGCTAGGGTTTCTGAAAGGGTTTGTCTGGGACTTCGGCTCACAGACCGGATCATGTTGCAGACGGGCTCCGATGATGGTGATGGCGGTGTGGTGAAAGGTCGCGTGAAGCGCAGTGAACATGCAAGATGCTGCACAAGCGAGAAATGTCGAAACAAGGCCTTTGGGTTTCAGCGTTCTGCTGGTATCGCCGTTCTGCCGATTTGAAACCTTCAACATTGCTTCATTGCCGCTCCCAGCCTCCATGGACTCTGCAGAGTTGACGTCGGCCACTGGCATGGCCTGGGACGTCGTCGAAAGGGGAAAGGTCTGCTGGTGCAAAACCCGGGGATGTTTGCCCCGCGGCGATGCTGTCCATCGAAGTCATGTTGGGCGATGAAGCTAAACAGGCATGGTACCCTCTGCAGGAGGCATCTGTGTGACACCGTCCCAAACCCAGAACCACAAACCGTGCCCCAAACTTTTTCGGATTTTTTTGGCCCTCAACGTCTCCTCAGGGTTTGTCGGAGCTTTCCAACTTACTATACTAACAAAAAAGCTCGCTCTACTAGACGAATTAATTATGCTAAACTAAGACTAGATACTGACCTATTCTATCACATCCAAGCCGCGGTAGCCAGCTGCAACGGGCCCATGCCAGGGGTGTCATCGTTGACGCCGACGCTAACCTCCACCTCACTGTGGAGAGACGGAGAGAGGGGACAGGACTGCAAGGGAACGACATTTGGGTCCTGGTCCAGTGTGCAGTTTGGGCGAGAGAGTTGCTTTGAGACTTTGGCTGAGGACTGGTCTGGGGTTTTGTCTGCTTGGCTTGCACACACAGGCAGTCTTCCAGCAGACGTGCGGTCCGGACAGAGTTGCAGTGTGCCTCGTGGCCGGTGTCTTCGTCGGCAAGGGTGGCCATGGGCTCGGACTTTTCGGACCACTTTGTGACCTCAAGATCCCAGATGAGAGTGACACGGACAAAGAAAGCATGATGCGCAAAACATATCCCGTGTCATCGGGGAAAGATTTCCAGGTGCAAACCAAGAGACTCCACCGCCAGACGTGATGCCCCTGCGATGGCATGATACATCTTGTAAGTATGTTCACAGCTGCTGGCCGATTACAGGCTGGCAAGCATGCGACTTGATATCCGACCAGAGCCCGGCAGCAAGCCAGCTGCAAAAATCTTCTTGTTTCACAAACAGCACGGTGTGCGCATCAAGAAAGCTCGAGTGGGTGACAAACATGACATGTCAATGTCTCGGCTCCATTGACTCCCACGCCGCTGCCTCGTCTGCAGCGTGTAGGTCGTTCCTCTCTGTAGCTGGTCGACGGTCACGACCTTGTCATCCAAGCGAGTTTCGTCCGGTCGATCGCGGTCTGCTGACAGCTACGCAGCTACTCTTCTCACCGTCGTAATCACCATCCGATTCGAAGCTATCTGAGAAGGATGGGGGCAGCTGCGGGCCATGACTCATGGGTGCAACCATTCTTCTTGTGTTTGGCCTGTTGGTGGATGTCGTTCAAGTCCGTAGTATGCTGCATACCGGAAAAACATTGATTTCATGCAGTAAGACATACAGACCAGGAAAAGGCACGACACATCCTCGGATCGTCACTGTCATGCGAGGCACACAAATGCCTTCGGACTGCAGACCAATTTATTAGCATATCGGACAACTGACGTCTAAATCGCAAGCTACTCCCCAACTCGCTCGAAGCCCGCTCTGGGAACCCCTGCCCATCGGTTCTCCGAGGTCACACGCACGGCCAGCGACTGGGAGTCAAAGCGCAGGGGCCTCGTCGGCCGGCCTCGCCAGCCTGAAACCAGGAAGAAGAAGAGGAGCTTAAAAGAGTCATGAGTGGGGGTTCCTGTTTTGAGGTCTCTGATGACATGGACCCTCGAAGGTTTGAAAGGCAGTTGCACGATTCCTGCCAGCCCTTCGGTTTGGCTTTTCCACTGCCTCGACCGGCCTTCATGCCGGCGGACCTCGTAAGCAATGATTCGACTGTCCTCCAGGTGCGGCGAGGGAGGCAGTAGGGCGCTATCACAGCTTGTTGTACCAAGGGCGATCAGTGCACCGCGCTGTTCGGGTCATACAGACTCGTCGCCGTGATTCGTGGGAGGTTCTTCCTGGTTTCGAATTACAGAGGAGTCTACGGCTACGGCTGGATATGAACTGGTCTAAAGCTGTTGGTGCATCGAGCGAAAATCAGGCAAACCTCAAAGTCACCTTCAGTCTTTCCCTGCACCAAACCAATCCCTGCCATCACCTGGAGATCCTGCGGCCCAGGGCCCAGGGCTCCTCCACACCGGGGAAAGCAAAGGTCAGCGCCCGCGACGTGGCGTAGACCAACTCGGGCGCTGTGGGCTCCTGGGAAGATACTGCGGTAGCACCCCTGGAGTATGTTAGTGTCAGCCTACTGACCTAACATATCACACTCAATGCTCACGCGTTTCAGGGGTCTGCGGCGGCCTTTGGGGCTGGCTGGCCCCAGATGAAGTACTGCACTTAGCTACTTAGTTTCGAAGGAGGTCTATAGAACAGCTTCAGCTTCAACTCTTGGTGCAACGAAGCATGTGCACTTGGGGCGTCAGGTATTGGTATTGCTGGCGGAAGCTTCACAGAAGAGAAAACAAGGACGCTGCACAGCTGCAAGCCTGTGCGACCACGGCGGTGCAGACCGGATTTTCTCCGACTCGGGACCATTCGCCCCAGCCGCTAGCGCCCTGGGCTCGGATTTCGACGACCTGAGAGCGAAGCCCAGGCAATTGAGCCCGAAACAAGAAGCCTCTCAGAATCTCAGGAAGCCTCCATTCAGGCGACACACGGCTACACGTTTGGGCTTCACCCTTACCCTTCTCTGTCCCCCGGCGTAGAGCTTCTCTGGCTCCAGGTCCTTGATCGCAAATTGCAGGCGTCCGCCTTCCGCAACTGGAAGCGTCTCCACCTGCCACCAGTGGAAAGAGGCTACTTCTTTCAGGCACAATGTCCCTCAACAGAACTGATCGCAACGCTGAAGGTCGAAGCCTCCACGGTCTCGGGTTTGCGCCACTGCGGACCCCGCCAGGTAGTCCACGCAGCTGCCCGCACGGCATACGCGCAAACATGGAGGTCCTGGCAGGGGTGTGGTTGCGTGGTGCTGCAGTGTGCCAAAAGTAGCCTTCAGGAAAGGCGTTCACATCGTTGACCAACTCAAGGCTTGGATAGCTGCTGCGAATATGATGGGGAAACCATCCAAGACAAACGAACGGTTAGCAGTGCACTTGCATTGTACCTCCGACAGCACTGACGGCAATGTTGAATCCGGAACACCTGCATCTTCCTTGATTCAGCCCGCATTGCTGAATAACCTAGCACTCGGTTCCCTGCAAAGCAACTCCATCCAATCCACGTGCCAAAAACTCTTCGACAAATCTTCTTGAAACCATATAAACAACCTTGGCAAACCCGAAAAGTTCTGTCCTCGAGGGACTTGGTGAGGCAAAGGCGGTCACAAAGGCCTGCAGCGATGCCTTGGATCGCAGAAAGACTGAAGCTCTGCTCATTCGTCTTTCGCATTTTCACATGCTTGTTGATGTCGGGTGGCGTGGATTCTGGTGCAGGGGTGATCTAAGATTTGACTCCCGGGGTGGTGATGTCTCGAGAGATGCAGGTCCGAACCACAAGACAAGTTTTCCGAACATAAGGCTTCATGTCTCTGAAGGCCGACTTCAGCGTGGTGTAATTATATTCTACATCTCTAGTGCCTGCAGCTCCAAAACCTAAGCCCCGAATCCAGCTTGTCATTACCAGCTGCCAGTCTTCAACTGGACGTGCTCCCATGAGATCTGGATCTGATCGTGCTGCACCTGAACGGTTGGACTGCGCCGATTTCGAGACTCATCGGCCATTCGCGCAGGCCCCGGCATGCAAGGAGCGTGGATGGACTTGGTTCATGTGGAAGATGGACAGAAGTACTGTGAGCTTTGTTTATCGATGTCTTTTGAGGTTCAAGTGATGCACAAGCACGGTTGAAATTACATGTATTTCAGACCCTTCAGCTGAGGCCATCATAGCCAAGCACCTCATCCACCTGCGCGAGGTCTACCAGTGGGGCCACTGGGAGCATAATGACCTGAAGCCGGACGAAACAGAGATTGCCTCACATGCTGGAATGTGGTTTTTCATTGCTCTCGCCATCCTTCGAGTCGTAAAGTTGTAAGCCAACTCTGAAGCCGCCTTTGCAAGATCGGATGCCATGTTAAAGAGTTTCAGCTTGCACCTCAAACGCCCGCCGTACACAATGTAAGACAGCAAAGCAAGACACTTTCCTTGGGTGCAAGATTGATAAGCAGTTATGGCATTCTAGCCGTTTGGGATTTTCTAGTTTCAAAGCTTTCAAGCATTTTAAATGTTTCAAGCATATGAGGGAAGTGCATTTTGCAGCAACGGAGCCTCGACCGAGATATGCGACCAGTCTCCCTGGCCGCTGGATGCTACCGAAGCCACCTCCCAGGTCTTCTCAGAATCATGGGGCGTAGGGCTTATAACCTCCCAGGGTTCGGGCGCTTACGACATAAACCTGTGCCCAGTGCGCAGTGATGCAAGCCATCTTCCTTGTGGCGTTCTGAGCTAGTCCCAAGTCTCAACTGTTTTCAAGCCAAGTCGAGTCTACAGTCGCAGGCAGACGTCCAAGATGGCCCAAAGTTCAGACCCCTACATTCGTGAACACTTCCCACTGCATTCGCCAGCCTGGCAACAGTAGCGCTGATCCTCGAGCATAGGCAGTTTGTACGTACAGCATTGTTTCTTCGCATCCAGATGGATTCTCTGTGCAGGCTGGATGATGCATAGAGAGCACCACGTGTCTCTGATTGCACACAAACCGTGGTGAAAACCGCTTAGTGGGGCCAGCAGTGACAGCTACCGATGGCAGTGGAACCGCCGACCAACTGCGAAAGAGCATTCATCAACATGACTTATTGCCGGCAGCGGGACTCTGTTGCCAAGTGCAGCTGTATCGCATGCTCCCGATGTGGCCGTCAAAGGGCGATGCTTGTGTAAATCACCGTGTCATGATTAAACAGATCCAACCAGAGCGTATGTTAAAGACGTGAGTAAATGTAAACTAATGCTTGTGACACCTCGGGTCGTTGAGACTCCCCAACATGTGTGTCGCTGCGTCAAACTCCTTAGTGCCCTTTATTCTTCGCAGCAAGGCGAATGTCTCATGTGACTCAGGTGCTACAGTGGTTGTCAGCCATCAACCAACTGGGTGCTGTTGCGTCGGATGCCTAACAGGTCATCCCACCCACATGAACGGAAGATTGAACCGTGCCTGGCAACAATATTAACTCAATGTCTCTCCGTCCGGGGCCTGTTGCGCAGCGTGGGATTGTCCCGTCACAAGCAGCAGGCTTAGCACTTTGCGTGCGTGCGTGTAGGTGTGACGCTATCCCCGGCACGGGTGTTGCTGCGCATGGCTATTGCATCGGTCGCGTTATGAGCAGAATCGCAGCTCTCAGCATGTTCAATGGCAGACTCCAGCGCAAACGGGAATCGAAATAGAAGCACTGTCGAGAATTGCAACAGCCAGCGGCCAAAACATTAGTTAGTGTCATGTCATGTCATGTCAATGCCTTGAAAGGCCTGACATGGCCGCAAACTGCACGACGGCACGTCTACATTATCTACAATACCTTCATCTCCCTGTAAGCTGTAGGAAATCTCCCAAGGAGCACCTGAAACTTCAAACCGACATCAGTGATTTCCAGGAAACTAAGTTTCTCTGAGCTGCTGGGAGAAGGCCAGGCACCACAGAAACAAACTGATATCGGCCGGCTGCACCTGTGCCGCGCCGCATGCATCCCAGACGGCAGGACATGATTGTTCAGGGAATCTAGAGAGAGGAGAGCTCTTTCTGCGCCGGAGAAAGGCAATTTCCTCTGCACCCTCTTTGCCTGAAGCATTCGACTCGAGGAGTCTCCGTCAGACCTGTAGACTACCCAAGCTGAGCTTGTGCCTTCGCAGAAGAAGAAGGGCGTGGCCGAGAAGGATGAGTTCTCATCTGGCAAGGGGGCACGGCTTTCTGTGACGTTGGTATTGCCCGAACTTTCGACATCGACATCGTAGAACACGAAAGGGAAGTAACGGCTGAACACGCCAACACGATGCATGGCTCATGGTATGATAGGCTGTGTGCCACATGTGCTCGACATAGTGACATGTACAACCTCATCGCATTACAGATCGAACAGCTGAAGTGGAATTCCCGGGCAATGGTTTAAGTTGGCAATTCAAGATTCAAGACAGGTTGAGACAGTCTTGTTCTCGCCTTTCACTGCGGCCCAGGTCTCTGCAAAGCTGCAAGCCTGGTTGCGACTCCAATCTGCTACTGGTGGGCAACGTAATGTGCGTGCCGGTGAGAACTGCTGCAAGCTGCTGTCAGAACAAGGTCTACTCACAAGCGGCATCAGTCCCGTTGAAGTGAAGTACACATGTCGGCGACAGATGCATGTGTATATACGCTCCGGTTGCAATCCGATGGCCTTTTGCAGCTGGACACGATGCGTTCGTGCCTGGTGCAGGCCCAGGGCTGTAACATGCTGTAACGCATCATCCGGCGATGGGAAACTCAAAACTGTAGACAAGACTTCTACCAGCGTCAGGGAGTGTGACGAACGACTTTCAATTGCAGGTGCATGGGAGTCTGCGCTGCACACACAGGATGGACATGCGCCAGACTTACTGCACCTGGTGCCTCTGGTCCTGCGTGGTCTCGATCTAATTCGTGCCCTTCCCCGACGTAGCCCACCAACTTGTACCAATTCTGATTGCCCGCCAAGTCTGACAACCCAGGTTAAGGCATGGAGCTAAGCCCGGCTGTATCAACTGGGCTCCCTGGCCTGCGCGGTACGATTGCCGAAGGCAGGTGCGACCTGATGCCGAGCTCGCCGGGGCAGGCGAATTGCTTCGCGGATCAGAGCTTCCGGAGCCAATGTCCACGATCACTCGGCTCAGCTAGTGAATGACCAGAACTTGAAGCTGGTGCTACAATCGTCGTACTCTGTTCGCCTCCTTGTCTGCGGCAACCCTAAGCCCGTAGAACATCATCGAGGGCGCAAAGACTGTTGGAGGCTCCCCAACGCCAGGAGGGCGGAGGTAGCCATGACTTTTCTCCTGGCCTTGACCAGGAATTCCGTGATCTCCTCGTCGTGAACCTCGCCGCTGAGCGTCTCAGGGTCCGGCTCCTGCAGGCGCTTCTTTCAAGCGGCTTCGTCGCAGCGGTTCCCAAACTACAAAACTACACCACGCGAGTCCCTGGAAGTTGGGCCCGGCCTCGCGATCCCATCCAAGCACCAACCTGGCGGGATGTCCAGGACTAGCATACTCCACCTGATACAGTGGTGCCTTTGGGGCTCGGAGCCTACAGTCAGCCGAGCTAGATTCAGCATCCGCACCTGTTATACTCTCAAGAGCGAGCACCCAAGCCCACGGAAGCCGTCAGCGCGATGTGACACGCTTGCTGATTGTGGTTGTCTTGTTTCCTGTGCGACGTTGTTGAGGAGCGGAAGGGCAACACCCACAACAATAACAAAGCAGCGAAATCTGGGCCCGGGCACGTGTCGTGCGTCCGCAGCAGCGCCTGAGGCGGCGCAAGGCGAGGTGCCACCCGCCAGGTCGCGAGCTTCTCGCTCCTGGTATCTTCAAGGCTGAGGGCTGGGACCCGAATTCTTAGAGAAGGCAGTGCTACGGAATTGCAGACTCCCAAACCCTAAACAAAGGAGCCGCCAACTCCCTGGACCATATGTAGCATCAATGCGGCCCTACAGCCCACAAACTAGAACCCTACATATATGATCCTGACATCAAAAATCCTACCTACTAGTACCCCGAAACCCTCAACACTCACTGCTGCGTGTCCGACCGAACCCTCAACCCCCTTAGCCCTTAAAACGCGCCGGAAGGGCGGCTCGGACCAGGGCCCCCTTCCTGCCGCCGTCAAGGCGGCCACTTCAACGACATACCTGGGATTGTGTCATAGTTGAGCATCTCTCCTGCTCTCTCTCTCTCTCTCTCTCTCTATCTCTCTCTATCTCTCTCTATCTCTCTCTCTCTCTCTCTCTCTCTCTCTCTCTCTCTCTCTCTCTCTCTCGCTCTGTGTACAAGTATGTATGTACGTATGAATGTATGTAGCTGTGTATGTATTTTGTAATTATTGTACATATCCACAAATAACATGAATCTACATGCATGGAAAAGTTGTGATTAGATGCACATGTTGACAGCCATAGGTAACATAAACTTAAGAGCTGTCAGAAACTCGCCATCCCTGCCTCTTCAAGCCGTGAGCGAGACCACCGCGACAAGCACTCAAGAAAGACTTGGGGCCACTCCTTTTTGCAAACAAGCTGCTGACGCTCTGGCGACAAGCCTCTTAGTGCGAAGCGAAGCAGCTCAGTGCTCGCGCACTCCTCACAGCCGTGAAGCGGACAGGCTGAGGCTCTCCGAGAATATGCTGCGGTCCATCAAGCACTCTCTGCACCAGCTACATACAGCCGATGACTGCCAGTCGTCCTCAAGCAGCTCCACAAGTTCCTCAAGGCAGATTTCAGCCGGTGGCTGTCGATTCCACAGCAGTTGCTCTTGCCGCAGTCTAGCTCTCGCACGCCCCGAAAACTTGATCTGCCGTGAAAGTGTCTGCGCGAAGTGCTTTGCTGCATTGCATTGGGCTTTCTGCCTCTGCCAGCCCTGTCACATTCTGCCACTAGTGATGCCCTGGGGCAAGCACGACGTAGACCCATGCGCCGTTGTAGGCTCCGTAGCTGCGGGCACCTTGCTGGCATGCAGTGCTTGGTCTTCGGGTCAAGACATGCTCCGCATCAAACCATCTCTGTTTCGCAGCTGATCTAGTTAATCTGCCAGTCCTCAGCATCTTGCACTCCCGATACATCGTAAAGCTTTAAGAAGGCATAATTACTCTGAACTCGATGACAGGAGGGATCCGCACTCTCTGCTTGTTTTTGATTCTCTTGGTTCCCCCGTCGAACCGCACACAAAGCTTCCAAAAAACTCTCTCGTTCTGTCGCATTTTTTCGGACTCTCTCAGTCTCTCTCTCACTCTCTGTCTCTCTGCCCTGCTGAACCATGTGATGCTCACATATGATCACCTGTTATTGAAGCCAGGCACACTCGTAGTACCTGGCGCTGTACCCCTTCACGTCGCTGGCTTCGCCCCGCGACCAGTCAGGCACAGCACCTGGGAACACGGTGCCGAGGATTCAGTGGAACCGCAAGAATCATGACTGCAGATCCTCTCACAGCTCAGGACGGGCTTCTGTACTAAATGCAGACCGCCGTTTCTATAGCCATCATGACTCTGTCAGAAGAAAGTTAACAAGGCCCCGGCCAGCGCACTCTAGGATGAGGTGGTCATGATATGCATGGACCACTCGAGCTCGGATAGCCTTGGCAGGAACACGAACCTTGACAAATCATTCGTGAACTCCAAAAAAGCTCTCGTGAAGCAGTAGGAACTCAGGGCGTGGGTGAAAAGGTCGAAAGTAGCCGCGAGTGAAAGATGGACGCAGGAAGTCTCGAAAGTGAGATTTCGAGTTACCCGACACGCTCCAGCAAGCCGTCGCAACGTCAGGTTCAAGGACTGTCAGGTCACGTTGCATCGCATTCAGAATGTGTTACCGCACTTCCGGCTAAGGAAATCGTCAAATCACCACGGTCCTATGATGTTGAACTTGAGACCCTTGGTGTCGGCTGAATGCTGCTCGACGCATCCGTCACACAGTGCTTCAAAGTCTCCCCCATTGTTGGTGCCACCGGCCGCGTCTTCAACCTTGGGAAACACCCACGGTGCGAAGTGCATAGTGCCTGCCCTTCGTGCTGCTCCTCTACCTCCACCACTGCCGCACTACAATCAAATCCGCGTACGACTGCTACTACCCGCTCCTCTAAGACTCTAAGACACCAGGACCAAAAGACAGGGCCATAGCGACTGCTATCGGCGAGTCTTGCATCACGTGCGTCGTAGGAGCGATGGTCCCAGCAACAAACCCGAGTAAAGCCCAGGGATGCTCCGGGGTCTAAGCGGCCTAAACTGCCAACTTGACTCCAAGAGCTGATGACTCTTCAGCGTGCTGACGACATCAGAGGGGCGTGACGGACTCACTCCGTTCTCCCTCCCCTCGTACTGTGAGCGCAGCGACCTCAGTTCAAGCGAAGTGTTCAAGCTTCTCTCGGGGTGTAGGGCTCGCAACACTGCACCAGATAGATGCTTGGGGACACTTACGTCACAGATTGGATAGGCAACTTCTGCCTGCCGAGAACTGGTTGCTCACTTGGGGGGAGATGCGAGCCTGTTCGACCCTTCTAACGCTGCGAGCGCTATGCCGCAGCCATGAACACCTTCATGAAACTATCGAGAAATAGAAATGGTGCACGAGTTTGCAAAGGCTCGCTTGCAGGGTTGCCATGGCCTTTAGCGACTTGTCCCCCTCGCCTAATCGGGAATGTCACGATCATCCTTTGCCGGTGACTTGTCGAAAATCTGCAGAAGAATTCGAAAGCTTCCCTCCTCCACTTTTGAGGCGAGGCACCTGCACTGCGTAGGAGGTGCCTGGAACCAAGTCTCGCAGCTCCATCCTTGTGATGAGACCATCTGACTCCTGTGACGGGTCGGAAGGGGAGAGATAAGGAGAAGCTTGACATTCCTGAGCTGATGTCGGCTGGTCACTCTTTCCGATGAGCCCAAACACAGTTGAGTCCTCCTTCCAGATGCGCCCTTAGCTTTGCATCTTCGCAATTCAAGCTTGACTCGAAAACTCTCTGAGGCTTCATTATTGCCGGAGTTCAAAGCTGTCTTATCTAAGTCCTGCCAAGCAGACATGCATCTGAGGCTTCTGCAGGGTTCCGTGTGATACAGGGGCCTTCATGTGTAGGCCAGGGTGTTTGATGTTTCTATAGCAGAAATATGTGAGGCCTACAGGGCGATACTGTCAGGAATAATACTTACCGACCTCCAGATTAATTACGCCAAGATTCCGAGCTTCTCCGGCGCCTCAGCTTGGGACACGAAGATGCAGCTGTGACCAACTGAAGGGATCTCAGAACCTGTTTTCTAAATCTTAAGACTTCTCTAGCATGCTATCAGATCTCCTTGCCCAAATGCGACGAAGTGACTCTGAACCTGGAACGCTGAAGAAGGTTTCACGAACAAGCTCCGACCCTCACGGCACAAAATCGAAAGCAAAACACAGTCTCGCAGCACCCTCAGCGTCCCCCTTTTCCCTGTCCCTTTGTCTGAACAGGCTGTCTGAACAGGCATCCCATGAATTTGGCGAACCCCACCTCGGCTACAGGCACCGACGCACTCGGCGAGCTCGCTGCGGCGAGTGTGCTCGAGGCTCCCTGCCTTGGGCCACAGAATATCGACCAAACGAAAGTACAGGCTTTAGGCAGTATAGTATAGCCATCGTCGAACAGCATCGCTGACAGGACATGTGACAACAAGTTTCTTCATCAGGACAGAGATGAGCATCGGACGAACGCTCTCAGATGTCCACCGGCCGCGTAAGACTGAAATCTCGAGTTCAACGGGTGCTCCCAGGGTCATTCAAGCAGCGCCCAAGCCCGATGAAACTCCAATGCCACCAAAACAGCCCAACATGGATGTTCCATTCCCGACACCCCTAAACCGGAAACCTAAAACCCCGAATCCCACGGCCCAATTAAACCTAAAGCCCGCAACTCCTAAACCATTAACTCCTACAGTCTTAAAACTTTAATTAAAATCCCAAACCAGAAAACCCTAAAGCCGTAGATTACATCCACAGTCCGAGAGGCAGCGGCAACTCGAACTCCCGTGTGGCACCGCGGCCACGCTCGCGAGTCTGGAGGGTGAACGTGCTGAGAGAACGTCTTCAAGGACATCTTAGTATCTTTCAAACGGAACCTTTACCGGAACCCTTCAAAGGAACTCTCAAAGGAAACTTGGATGAGAGGTTAGCGCCTTACACGTCTTCGCAAAGGCTTCCCCTCGCAAGTCTCGCAGCTTCGGTGATCATGAAATCACTGGCACTGTTTCAGGAGACGAGAGATTTGAACAGACCGCTTCAAGGCAAGCTGACTTGGTAAGAAGGTCTGCTCAGTAGGATATAGGTGGCGTCACAAGTATGCCACATGGCTTGCCCGAATCATAACCACTACTTTAAAGCCTACGAAGTGCCAAACACCCCTCCAGGGCCTTAAGGGCCTACTTTTCAATTCGAAATCGAATGCCGGCCTTGGTCAGGTGCACTTTGTATCCACAGACAGGGGCGCCTGCGCGTGGGAAGGATTCTTCGTTTTTGGGGCTTTCTGGGGATTGCGTGGACCAGCCCTACAGCCCAGGCCAGCCTTGAATTTCTTTGGGCGTCACCCATTTCAGCGAGGCACTCTGCCGCAGAATCTGCTCGTTCACCGGGGTGCCTCCAAGCTGCAAACCCCGCGACTATGGCCAGGCATAAAGCATTTCAACTCAGCCGGTCGACTGGATTCCTGCCACGAGTTGGCTATCCCAACGCACACATCTGCAGGATTACTCGGGTACAGATCGCCAAGACACCACGGGGACACTCAAGAATACTCGAGAATGAACCCACATGCCTCGAACTTCAGGCGCCAGGGCTTCTGTGCAGATTTGTACAGCTTCCGACCAATCGCCGTCACCTCAGCTTCTAAGCTATCCTAACTACACCCCTCACAAGCAGTGTTGCATGCATAGATGATGATTTCAACTATAGCGGCCCGAACCCACAACCCCAAAAAGCCCTTGCTGGCATCTGAATACCGAACAATCCATTCTGACTGCGAACAGCCGATGCATATTTCAGGGGTTGCATTACGCGTAATGAACAGCAGCTCGGATGTCAAGAGCTACACCTTTATGGTTTAGGGCTTGTGGCTGTGCATCAGTTGTGCAGAACAAGGACGCGGCTTCTGAATTACGGAAGAATCTCAAAAGATCAGATCGGGTGGAAGCGCTCAATGAGCTGGGCGTTGGCGTGACATGCACATCCCGCTATGGCCACCCTCCGCTTAAAAGACCTGGCTTCAACGTAACAACCCGAACCCCAAAGGAGAATGTCGCGTCGGGGAACCTTCTCCATGAGCCACTGCCATCACCTTCAACCAGAAAGTTCCGGCTGAAACAAAATCGCAAGGGTGCAGAGGCAGAGACACCTGTGCCACCGAATCACCTTTGCAAGACTCGCTCTTGACAGTCCCGCCTGCACCAAACAAGTGCTGCAAGACTTGAGGTCTCGAAGCCTGTAGCGCAAAAGACCTCCCCGGGGAGTACAAGCAACAAGCATGGCTTCATGTCTGGCAGAGCGGGGGGGGAGGCTTCCCCGGGCAAGGCATGGGGATGCTCAAGGATTGTTGTGCAAGCCATGATGGTGCAAACTTCCTAAGTGGAAAAACAAGGCACATCGAAACAACACCTGTACCAGAACTTGCGTTTTCGTCAGCCCCGAAGGAAAATGTTGCAGGGTTTCGCCCGACATGCTGAAAGCTTAACGCAATTATAGTTTCGCGGGCTTTGATATGAAACACTCGTCCAGTCCCGAAAGCCAAGCCACAACTCGAATCTGAAATTCAGCAGACCAACCTCCTAGACACCCTCGTGTACAGGTTTTCTCACACACCTCTATGATAAGAAATTAATCTGAACATCTTTGAAATGGATTTTCGGCCAGTGCCTGGCTCGGTCCCTAGCCGCTCCGCAGCGGAGGCTCGGACGCCGATGCTCTCGGTCCAGGCCGGCTGCGCGCGAATGCCGCCTCCTGACAAAGGCTTCCTATACGGCGGTGTTGCGGCAGGTTCTGCCAATCCGAAGAGTTGACTTCAAAAGGGGATTGGTTGGGATGCTATGCTCAGAGTTCTGCATCGGGGTGGTTGTCCGGTCTCTGGCTACTAGCACCATACTGGTCGGGCTGCTGCCAAGCCCAGAGATGTAGCAGTACCACGGGTCAAGTTGTTGCCAAGCCGAGAGATGTACAGTAAGCAAGCACGTTCCTTGTGGCGCCTAGCTCCGAATCTGGCTGCCTCGCTTCCCCATTCTCGCAGCCATGCTACTTAAAGGATCATGGGACTTAGTAACTAAGGTTATTATTAGGGTAACTATACCTATAACTACTTATAACCCCAATTAAGGTACCTATAGCCATACTTAAAGCAAGTCCCATAATCCTCCATACCATACACAACGGAAAGAAGCTCCGGCGCGCCTGTGGTTCTCAGCTCCGGCTCGTAGCTCAAGCGCACGCGGAAGCCTGGCAAAAGGGTGCCAAAACATGGGCCCAGGGCCCCTCCTCGATGCTCCAATGTCTGCTTCTGCTTCCATTCCCAGGCCTAGCCCATGGTGCTCCTATGTGCTACTGTCCCAGGATGAACTCTGACTCTTCTTACAGAAGAGTTCTGCACTCGGCCGGCGCTGGCCTCGCAGCCTGCGCTGGCCTCGCTCCTCCTCCGCATCTTCGCCGAGACAAAGCTCTGTGCGTTCGAGATCCGCACCTGAGAGCTGCATGCGGACACGGGATTCAGGGATGCTTGGGGTACAGGGTTTAGGGTTTAGCTAGCTACAACAAAGGATCTTTTTCGTTTCTTGCGGGCACTTTGGTGACCAAGCATCCCGGGCAAAGCTCGAAAAACTGGTCGGAGGCATGAGCCAATTTGCGGATTCCGATTTTTTTGCATAGAACCCATCATGCAGTCAAACAAATGGAAGCCTGGGAGATCTTAAGGCCGCCCAGCTACTATTGTAAAACAGCTATCCGCACTGACCAGCCCAACGATTTATGATCCCTGACCCCCGACACTCCATAGGCTAAAGATCTCTCGGAGCCCTTCTCATCTCCGAGCCCTGAGACCCATCCCAGACCCGCAGCGCCCAGGCCACAAAGAACCTCCAACAAGGGAGTAGGACCCCGCACTCGGAGAGATCCGCCAGGAAATGGTGGCAGACCGGTGGTCCACTGTCTCAACCTCGGCTTTAAGCTTTCGTGGCCGTGTGTGTGCACGTCCTTTTTGGGCTTCTCACGTCTCCACCGAAGCGTGGCCTTACTCGACCTGGGCCTAGGCTTCAACGCGAGGTTCTACAAGGTCGATGCGCCGATGCGTCGCCACCCGAAAAGTGCTCGTATGGCAGGAAAGATGTCATTGACTTTAGTCACTGAGCCCATGTACTCTCAAGGCTAACGGATTTCTCTGGTCAAGCAGCACAAAGGCCAGTGATCGGTGGAGGCACAGGCAAGGTTTCTGCCCGCAGCGCCTCGCAGCAGGTCAAGCGCAGAAAATGACTTCTGAGTCTTGAGATGTGCTTCCCCTCGCGGTGCTCCCTTTTCGACAACTTCGGAATTACGTCTCAGGTGCGACGAAGCCGATCAGGAGAAGCTCTCTTCGTTGCTCCGAAGCAGAAGCTTTCAAATCGAATCCAAGCTTAGCCTAATCTAAGTCTCAGGCCCTTCAGCCATCCAGTGAGGGGAGCTGTGTAATAGAAGTGTCATGCCTGCGATGACTGGCCATTGCCGGCTGGTGTGATGGCCATGGCCGTGCCTGAGCATGGGGTCCTCCGAATCAAGGATCTATAAAGTTTCACCTTTAGGGCTATATACACGGGTTCTAGCCCACCAGAAAGAACCAGGTTTCGAGGATTCGATTCTGGGCCCGTATGGGAAGTCCCAACCGACGCCATGGAGCAGGAGTAAGCACTCCGATCTTGCAGCTGGCTCGCCACAACAACCTGAAGGACAGAGCACACTTCCGGCTTCGGCTTCATGGATTTTGGGCTTCCAGAAGGGTTTAGGGCTTAGGGCTTCGGAAGGCTTGAAACATGTAGCTCAAGCCACTGAGTTTGAGCTGGATGAGAAGATGGAGACAACCGAAACCGAAACTCCCCAACTTCCAAAGGCCCAGCAACATCTCATGTCTTCACCTCAAGGCCAGGGCGCGTGGGAGGGGAATGCCTCCTCCGAAAGCCCGAGCATGCTCGAAAGCCTCGTCAGTTTCATTCTTCTGGCTGCTCTCCCTACGACTCAGCTTCCACTCATCTGCAAGGTTCCATGTGTTGTGGGGTGCCTTTGCAAGCTTGCCTGGCGGTCTTCAAGGCAGCTTCGCAATGGGGCCTAGTTGCTGATTTCCAGGATTCTTCCTCAGTCGGGGTTGCGTCTACCAGCCTGGTGAAACAGATTTACCAACATCCAGGACATAGCATTCCTTCACAAAAGGCCCACGAGCTCCGGGATCCAAGGTGTTCTCCGCCCGGCAAAGCCCGAAACTGCACAGGTGAACTACAGTCAGCACTCTCTAAAACAAACCACACCTCTGAAAGGTAAGAAATGGGAGCACGATAGAGATGTAAACACTTGGAGCGAAAGAGAACACTTCCTTCTGTACAGAAAGCGAAGGAAACAACGCTGTGGGCAGTGGAGGGACAACTAAGTACATCATGCGGTAGAAATGCACGATCTTCTGTGTGCTGGCTGTTGGTGTTGCCTGCGTATAACTGAAGCTCTTCTCAGCATGTTTCTAGGGATTTGGTTGCCACTTACCTGACATTTACCATAATCCGCACACTCGATCTGCCTCATCCGGTCACAGTCTAAGCGAGATTGAGAATATGGTGGACTTAGCTCTCTACGACTCTACGCCCTCCGAGTCGTGAACGAAGCTTGCAAGAGCGCATCTGATTCAGCCTAAACCCTAAACCCCTAAACCCAGTCTATGTTAAGAGAACTCAAGGCCTCGGCTTCACCTCTGCGGCCAACTGCGCGGCTGCCGCGCACGTGATCTGGTGCTTGTTTTGGCTGACTCCCGTTTCGTTTTAGTTTGGAGTCTAGGAACCAGGACTTGGGATTTAGAGTTCAGGGTATGGGAAACCGGGGATCAGCTTAGGGTAGGCTTTCAGCTTTTTCGGAGCTTGGGGTGGTCGAGTCTTTGAGGATCTGATGCTGCCGGATTGAAAGGCTCCTGTACCGAAGTCGTCCAGCACGAACTCTGTAGCTTACTGGATGAGTCTCGAGATTGTTCCGGCGAGTTTTGCTTGCATTACACTTTTCTTGCGGATCCATAGCATATAATTAGTATTCGCCCACAAACTGAAGCATCCTCCATCCTGCACTACAGTGTGGGGAACTTGGCTTGCACATGCAGGGCCTTGCAAGAATCATGTCGGCCCCAACCCTGCACCCAAAACAAAGCTCGAGCTGCCTCAAGCTATCAGTCTCTTCAGTTTGAGGGCTTGAGGTGCGTGTCTTTACACGCTGAGCCCCACAACTCGAAACACTTCTTGGATTCTTCGCATCACCAAAATTTGACGATTTCCAGCCTACGCTGGAGACTCTGGGCCTCCAGGTGCCGCGTCTCTGCACCGCGCTGCAGCGGTTGCAGCCTCCAGGGTTCGCATGACGTCATGTAATGTGATTTTGCTGAGGGATGTCTTGCTGCGAGGCAGGCTTGGGAGTTTCAGTGCTTACTGTAGGCTCTCCTTCTGGGTGCTCTTTGGGGCTCCGAAGGCTCCTGAAGGGTGTGCTTGGACGAGCTCACGCAAGAAAGCCGAGGGGCGTGAGCTCAAAGCGTTCCACCTCCTCGTCCTGTCCTGCTCTTGGGACGCTTTTGCCGAGGTATGGTTTAAGCCTAGGCATTTCTTCAGCTGAATGCTCTCCTGGACTGGATGATTGGTGCAATTCCTCTAGTTTCGGACCCTGCTGCAGAATCTGGGACTTCCCGCCAGCAACACTCACTGGAAAAAACCGTCCTTTCGTTGGGTCCTCTGGGCTCTGGAACCTCAGTGCTGTGAACACAGGCGGAAAAGCTGGCTCGGCAGCACACAAGCCGAGGCCGAGTTCTCAGCACCGGCTAAGTACCAGTGGAATCTGCGTTTTGTCATGCCCATGCCTTTGCGATCTTCCGATTAGGACCATAACAAAGCCACCTCTTCCTGCGCAGTGTACCGAGAGCTCCAAGGCCAGAGACACTCCGAGAAGAACTGCCCGAGGTTGTCACCAGACTGGATGTACGTACCAATGGAACCAACGTTGCCGACACGAGTGCGAACCGTAGACAATTTCTGATCTCTGCGCACTTGAGCTGCAAACCCCCAGCTCTCTCGGAGCCCCTTCACAAATTCCGGGGGGGGGGGGGGGGGGGTTCCGAATCTCCGGGAAGTGGCGTGAGGCCGAAGACCAAGGAGGCGTGGCTACCGGCCAAGAGCTGCGGCATGGCGACCTCCACGAGCCGAAGCGACGGGCCGACGGGGGGAGTTCTTTCAGACCTTCGAGAGTATCTTCTGGTCAGGGTTCTCTGCTGAAGAGATGCCAGCTTGAGTCTTCAGGGTTTAGGGGTTGTTTCTTGCAGCTCGCCTGTCCGCAAGCGCAGCCCGCAGTTCAATAGAAGCCCGAAATCACAAGAGGTAGTGGTAGCTCTGAGAAGTCCCAGCCTGTGGGGCCTTTCGCCAGGTGAAGAGTGGGACGCTCTTCGGAGACCACTCGCCTGCAAGAAGGGTTTGAATTGGGAGGAGACAGCTCCTCAAGTGAATGGAGCAAGGCAAAAATGCACCTATTGCAGGCACGGGCAACAAGTCATAGGCCTTGAACCTAAGAAGCTCTTAACCCTCCTTCGTCCTGACACCCCGCAAGCATTCTGCAGCAGATCTGGGCTTAGACACACATGCTCAGCTTGATGAGGACACCTTGACCACAGGCAGTCTTTGCCGCGACCTGCAGGCAAACGAGCTTGCTTCTGTTGACATCCTAGCGCTGCTGAGGACAGTTTCAACTCTTTTCACTCTACCTGTGCTCGAAGAATATTGGTAACTCATGCCTGCCTGGACGAGGTACATCCGCGAAGCAGATAGGCCCGTGAGCCAGTAATGCACCTCAACTCGCTTCTGCTCCAGGCCACAGCCAGATGACACAAGCCTTCTTTCATTTCGGTAGTAGACATGATGCTGTTGAAGCTTCGGCTTTAATTCCAGCGTCTCTGCCAATGCAATCCTAACTGCATCCGTTGCATATGAGACTCTTGCAAAAGCACTTGAGAAAGTACGCCCTAAGGCGTCAGAAAGGCCATGAAAGGCCTGCAAAAACTGCTACAAACACCTTCGTGACGGTCTGTCGTCTCTCTTTCTCTCTTTTCCTTCTCCGGCCTCCTTCTCGCCGTCATCGCCGCTTCCTGAGAGGATTGGGCCGCGCTGGATTCGGCAGCGTCCGAAGCGCCAACAAGACAGGCCAGTGGGTCTCTGCGCTGCAGTGACCAAGCTCAAGTAAAGAACTAGTAACTAGAGATGAGCAAGTGATGCTAGGGCGCAGGGTTTGGGGTGGTTTCTGGTGCAGAAACTGCGATCCAAGGCTCGCTGGGCAGGCTCTGGACTGCCTGTCACTCTGTCCGTGGCGGCAACACGGATCGCACGGGTTGATGTGCTACTTGCTGGACTGGTGACTTCAGGTTTCGATGTGAAGATTCCCAGCAGCAATGATCAGAAACACGGGCACAGCGGATTTCGATGCGACGCCCGGCGCACCTCCCATCTCTCCGTCGGTCTTGGCGACCGACATGGCAGCACTGCCTAGTCCCACAGGTGCACATAGGCAGCAGACAACTGCGAGTCTGAGTTCTTGGGTCTTTCTACTCGGAGGATCATGGGACTTATATCAGTACCTTAATTAACTGGGGATAGAAGTAGTGATACGTACAATTGCCGTAAATACATCCCTGGTTGCCAGGTCCTAGGATCCTCTAAGTAGTGAGATGCCGGTGACTCGGAAGCAGAGCACTTCGCTCTCCCTCCCAGCGGCCTTCCAGGAACTGTGCCGTCTGCTCGCTGGGCTTCAGAAGTCTCGAGGCCAGCTTCACCTGTGGCTTTGGTGCTAAACCTTCTATATTCTGGTAAACTGTAGTATCATAGGATACGAGAGTATATGCTAAATTCAACTTATCGAGTGTATGGGTTTATACGGGGTACCAGAAAATCTCGTCACAATGCTCCTTGCTCGTGCCTGGCTCCACACGGAGCACTAGTCTGCTGTCACCAGCACGCGGATTCGCCCAGGGACCATACTGGTATAGATGATGCTGCTCTCAACCTTGTTCTGAACAGTCAGGCTCGGTCCTCCTTCTCGTTCTTCACGGGCCAGCGTGGCTCTGTATCGTAGTAGCGCACGACATAGCCCAGTACCTGCAGCGTGTGGGACGTTCGACACCCTCCTGTTTTGAGGAGGCCCTCCAATCTGTCTAGCATCAGGAACACAGTCTGTGTGTGCGCGCGCATGTGTGTGTGTGTGTGTGTGTGGGTGGGCGTTTCGATTTTGCCTCATACTCTTGCTAAGGTGCGGAGGTTTTATGCATCTTCATTTTCATCGTCCTACTTGTCGTGAAGCCTGCATTCGTCTTCGGTTTCACCGAAGTTTTCATGTGTATCGTCTGCAGACGTATCCACGTGTCTACCTGTCAATCTTCGCATACCAACGGGGCTGCGAATGCACGCTCTGATTGCTCTGTTGAAACTTGAATCGTTTCCTCAAGACCCTGCCTCGTCCTGCTGCGTTGTGGGGCTGGCCCATTTCAGCAAGAGGCGATCGTACCTGCGCAGCTCTGAGCGCAGTCCTGGATTCTGAAAGGGCTATGAAAGCGTTCCAGAAGCGCTTTTCAGGAGATTCGTTGCTTGGGAGTTTATCCACAAGGCACAAAGACGCGGTAGCACCGCCCAGAAGATGGCGTAAGTTCGCTCCATCATTAACAAATTATGAACACATGGCCATGCCCGAGACAAGATCGCCTGCAGGCGCCCTAAAGTGTCCAGGCCTGGCGCACTGCAGGCGCGGGGCATCTGTCAGAGGCGGCGCGACGGCGAGCGTTTGAAACCTGCTTCATGTTTCGAGGGTTCAAGTGCTCCAACAACAGTAGATACAATGTACAGACTATTATAGTAACTGGTATTGGCAAGTAATTATGTACTGCTTGGTCCCACAGGCACGGATGCCTCTGAGGTGAACTTCGCCGTCCCGCGGAGGACAGTGCCAAGCGCACCTCTGCTCGAGACAGGAGAGCTTACGGACTTTAGGGTTCAAGGGTTCACGGCGTTTCTGGTTTCACAATCTTGTCTGGGAAGTGCCTTCATGTGGAATCTCCGGTTCAGGCTGTTGCAACTTGCTGCAAGTCGTGCCTTTGCTTTGTTGACTTGGCCGTGCTAGAATGATTCTGGTGAAGTGTGGCATCAAGTTTCTGTTTACTCACACAGAGGAAGCACGGACGATCGACAATCATCTGAACCGTCGACTCTACATGCTCATTTCTGCCCCGAGCAGACGCGACCGCACGCTGTAGGACGGAAGTACTCAGGCCGCTGTTGTTACAGAGAATTGGACCGCCACAGGAATTCAAACATCGCGTAGCCAAGGCTTGGCAGCGGGCATCGTAGAAGGAAGCTGCGTCGAGTCCCCGGAGCGTGATGTGGACCTCTGAAAGCATATGGAGGATCTACCTGGATCTACCTGTCACCCGAAACTGTCGTCGAGGGCATCCACAAAATCACAAAGGGCAGTGCCATGGTTAGAGCGTGTGCTTGTCCTGGAGTCCCACTCTGGGATCAATCCCTCCCAACACGAGAAATCCTGCCCCAAGTGGCTGAAGACATCAAACCAAGGGACCTCAACATGCCCTTTTTTCGAAGGGGCAAACCCATCGTGCAAACCACAGAGATTCCATGAGTCGGACAGCTCTGATTGTGATTCCTCCGCTCAAGGAAACGCACGGCGATGACTATATAGGAACCATGCGTGTCTGCTCTGCAGCCAAAGCACGGCACGTGTGGCCACCTCCCTCGACGAAGCCTTGGCTCGCCGAGTTTGTCAGGGCAGCTTTGTTTTTGCATGGGGGAATAAACTCAGCTGACCTTGCGCACCTCAACACTCTCATCGCATCGAAAGCCAAAGAGCAGGCTCGGTGAGAGCCGTTTCGGAGGATGGCTTGGAGTTCATCCGCGAAGGTGGGAAGCAGACATCATTGACTTCGCACAAGGGCTGCCGCCTTAGAGGTCGAGATTTCGCTGTCGCTGAGGGGTCAACAGCAAGTGCACGGAACTGTGCGCTGGCAATGCCCCAACACTATCATTCTGAGCTTTGCAGACACGACAGTACCGCACCACGAATCACTCAGGCTTGCACTACGGAGCAATGTATACACTGACCTCTTGGACTTATTCCGCTTCATCGTGTCCCCGAAGGACTCGAGACAGGTCCTGGGGACGGCGCTTCCATGCGCTGGCGAGCAGCCACCGGCTCGGGCGATACTCTGCCTGCTCACGATCGACGGTAAAGTGATTTCTCATCGCATATAGTGGCATTCATTAGTGAGTAGAAGAAGGGTTGTTGAAGTATAGTAGTTATACCCAGATGATACAGCCACTATAGCGGATACTATTGCCAACTATGCAGACATTTGCTAGGGACATTGGCGCGGGTTTAAGTTTATCGGAGTCTCGAACCCGCACAGAGTTTAGTTAACAGAGTTTAGGGGCCCAGAATTATAGCAAGGAGCCCTGAGGAATAGTGATACTCAAATCTACTGAGGCTTCTGTATTTGGGGCTTTTCTGAATGGAGCGCATGCGTTTCGCTGTATCTATCCCCAATTGGATGGGGCTGGCCTCGACAGGACATCAGGACACGGGGAAGTTCGCATCTCTTATACCACCCTATACCCCCAAATCCGGCAATCATATAAAGTTCTACTTCACTCTCATAGAACACCCCGAAATCTTGGCCTCTACATCCTCGGGCTTCGTGTCCGCCGGCACCTTCTGTCCCACCAGGTCTCGAAGTGCCGATGCCGTAGTTTCAGTGTAGCGTATCGGGCTCAGCGACAGGAGCCCAGCATCACGATTTTCTGTGTGTGGATTTGAAGATTCGTTTGGTGCATGCTTACCAAAGTGCAGAGCAGATATGTTTCACACCGCTTACGTTACTGTAGAGTTATCATAGTCTTTCAGATCTCAGGATTAACAAACTCGTCTCATACTAGAAAGTAGCCGAGACTTTGTGCAAGACCTTCGATCGCCAGCAGGCCACTAGCCTGCCATAGTCGTTTCTGAGGCTCCCTGGTACCAACGAGATTGTCAATCCTGCAGTCTTGAAGCAGGAAAACCTCGCAGATCAACGTTCATACATGCAGAGTCTTGGCGGTTGCTACTTGTTCTGGAAGCCCCTGTCAGCCCAGACGAAGAGCTCAACGAATCGCATCCAGTTCGAAATCAGTAATACAGACATTATACGGGCTCAAGAAGAGGCACCCGCCACCGTAGCGTCAGAGACGAGCTCCCAGCGGCTTGCAGCGTAGGTTCGTCGCCTGGGGCATCTTCCGACATGTGCATAGAACGAGCTGCGGTAGCTTCGTGCTCCTGCCACGTCAATGATGCATGTACTTTTTTTTGAGACGGGTCGTCTCCGAAACACAAAAACACGCTAATATCTATCTCTTAGTCTTGCTGGCAGTCCCTTACGCATCCTTGCAGCGATTCGCTAGATTTTCATACCCACGAAACAGTAGAGCTGTGTCAGATCTACGTCCTACCATGTATACAATATTGCAATTATGCACAGCATAGAGACCAACCAACACGGCACCATGGGTATCATGTCATTTCCTGATACACCATGCCAAAGGGAATATTCCACAACATGACCTGCAAGAACACCGCAGTGGAAGACTCACAAGCTCAAGGATGGCTTGCCTGCAATGAAAACCGAGCCATTAGGAAGCCACCCGGCTAGTGCCACCGAGTGGCTGCGTGGCGAGCGCGGCGAGAGCAGCTCATGGTACTGGTGGCTGTCGTCCAACATCCAGGAGCCGGGAAGGCCAGTGCTCCCCGGAAATCACAAATCCGAAACCCTAAGGATGCTGCGTAGGCGTAGCGGGTGCTGAGCCCCGAGGTCAGACTTAGCTAAGTCACCAATGCCCGGCAGCGGGCAGGGTAAGGTCTTCATGCTTCGGCCTTATTGGCTGAGTCGTGGGTGCTCTGAGACATGCATGTAGCACTTCAATGTACTTCATACTGAAATGCTCTGGAAACCCGACCCTTCTCTTCAAACATCTTCGTCCAGCCATGAAGCACGACATGAATGGGCATTTGGGCACTCAGCGAAGCTTTGACCATCGACCTTGAATTTGCCTTCGTCAAAACCAGGACATGTTAACATCTGGACAGCCAAGCAGGTGAACTGATCCGAATTGTGTAGTACTTATAGCCTGTCTACATCATTCCAGACAAAGCTTGTTCGATTCAGACTCATACAGCCGCTGAAAATGGCACTCGGGCGAATCCACTCAAGTCGCGCTACGGCGAAAAGCGAAAATTGGCGGCCGCCAGTTCAACCGACCGCAGGTTAAACGACTGCTACAGAACGGAACTTTCTGTTGCTAAACATTTCTCCAGCACTGCCAAGGCTATGAACCTATCCTAAGCAGTAGAACCAGCAGTCTGAAGTCACACTTACACATCCTCGGGTGCTTGGATTCCGGGCTAGCTGTCCGCTTTGCCGAAGCCCGGGTCTCAGGAGGATCCCTCTCAGGAGATGTCCTCCGCCTCTGCCTCCGTTGTTAGCTCCTGTATCGAGGGACCGACGTCGATTTTGCGGAAACTGTGCCCGTATCACCCATGCTTCACGGGCTTTTGCATGGATGCAGTGATGATTGGACCCGTTCCCTCTGCAGAGAGGCAGCGTGGGCAATTGGGTGTTGGGGAAACTCTCAGCACTCTTGCTTTAAACAGAAGGTCTTCAACATTTGCTCGTCCCGTTCCAGCCAGTGCCTCTGTGGCATCTAGCAGGTAGGTTTGAAACCTCAGCAAGACTGCGATGCGTCGCTTTCAGGTGACGAGAGCAGGGCAACTGTGGCTCTTCCTGGGTCCTCTGCTCTTCGAGGTATCCTGTGATCTCCTTGTGGAACTCCATGACCTTGTCGAAGTCCTGGGCTCGAGGCTTAGGCTTGGAGGGCTCAGGTGTGATCTCTGTCACTGACAACCTGCACTTGAACGTGTTGAAAAACAGACCCATGCCGGTGTGAGGAGCATCAAACCTTGCCGAAGCATTCACAATGGAATATCGCGAGCGTGTAGGCAGGTAGGTATACGCACATGTCTCTTTGCGTCTCTCTCCATGAACAGATCGAACAAGCCCGCACACACGTTGTACATGCATGTGCATGTACACATACCATTACAGCTACATACATGGCCATACAAACAAACAAACATACATACATACATACATACATACATACATACATACATACATACATACATACATGTATATGTGTGTGTAACAAACCATACACAGGCATGAACATGAATAAATGTACATGTTATATTGTATGTATACACATACATGTACATGCATACGTACATACACGCTCACACGCACATGCATGTATGTACGCGATTCGGAACCAGGCCTTTGCCTTCACCGGCTTGTCCGAGGCCTCCAAGGCTACAGGATATTTCTGGAAGCTGGAAGATCTGGAAGTTTGTATTTGTTTGTTGATTGATTTTACTTTTTTTTTCCTCTCATGTGCTTGAGAGCCAATTTCCCTTGCAGACATCCTGCTCCTGACTCCTTCTCTGTCTGTCAGATTCCATTCAGCATGCACTACATCGAGCTCTGTGCGACACTGAAGGCTGAGTTGGGAAATGCCTGCAACCAAGGAGTGATCCTCACAATGTTGGCCAAGTGCGCTGGGAACATGCAGCAATCGCTCACTTTGATTAAGCTAGGAAGCAAGTGCAGGCCTTCACTTGCTTCCTGAACTTCTCAATCAGTGCTTCGGCCTCGTGCTTCGGACTACGCATGATGCAGTCTGCGCGTGCTGAACGTATCAGCGTGTCAGGTGGCAGAGAGGCATGAACCAACACTCGGAATAAGGTCGCTGGCGTTCGTCTTCTTGTCTCCACGGAATCCTGCACGAATGATTTTGCGAGCGAAGACACTGAGGGCTCTTGTCGATCTAGGATTAGTCGTGCAAGCATGCGCAACTTCAGAAGCAAGTGGAAACATGCAACACCAATCCATAGGCACGGCTCCTCGAGTGAGGTATTTCATGTCGTCGTTCAGGCCGTAAATGCGCCTGCATCGCCACCATGAAAAACACACAGCATACTCAAAGCGGTACATACTGTAGCTACCATATGCTAGACCAAAGTTCGCTGTAACGAAGCAGATGCAGCGGAATGTCTTGATCTCCCGAGCGCTCCTCAGGAAGCCGATCGTGTCATCCCACTCCTCCAACAGTTCAAGGCAGCGTTTGGGGCATTTTGCGTGGACTGCACGGGGACATTATTCACAAGCCAAGAACTCTCAGTCTTTGGGCTTCTCTTTGATGATGTCTGTTCAAAACGCAGGCCAAATGTATTCACAAGGAAATGAAAAATCGCCGAGCTCTTTCTGAAGACATCGATGAACGCATCTGCCCTTTTCTTGCGACTCTTAGGTCACGTTCCTTGAAGTAATAAAAGGGCCTCACTAAATAGAATAGGGCTTGGGGTGTCTACACCGGCATGATGGTGGCAAGCCTACTGGTATTAGCACTGCTTCTTCAGGTGCCTATACCCCTGAAAGAACCCATATGAACCCGAAGTTTAGCACCACTGTAGAACCCGCATGAGCCCCCTCAAAATTAGAGCCCCTTTAGTACGCGACCTTCGAGTCCGGGGCCTTGTCTTTGTCCTCGGCCGTCTGCAACTTTTCCGGGAGCTTCTTCCATGCCTCAGTTATCCAAGAGAGCAGCGATCTCAAAGCAAGTTCGATAGGGGCACTTATAGTATGATGGACTAGAGCTTTACAGTATAGTACGATTTTGTAGTTAAGAGGACATTATTTCTGACTATTCCCACACCGTTATTATTTCTGTACGCCGAATGGGAGGCCTCAGGCGCCTCGGATTCGTTCCGCAACTCGGGCCGTTGCATCCAAGCCTTTGCGGATGCGGTCCTCCTGCAGAAGGCCGTGGAAGTGGAAATGATGCGCGCCTAAAGCTGAGGGAGGCTAATATAGGGGCCTTAATAATTCCCTATACTATTTTGGGTTCCATATTATATTTCTGGAAAAATGTACCCCCAGGCTCTAATTATGAAGACCCCTATGTGACACCACTGTCACCAAAGGAGCCAGAGCTCCTGCCGTGCTCCGGCGGGAAGGCTGTCTCCTGCAGGCAGAGCTCTGCTTGCATGCGGACGTGGGTTCGGCATAATGAGGAAGACATGGAAGTTTGAAATCTTACCCTATACATCCAATGAGTGTATTTACGCGTATATATATATATATATATATATGTATGTATAT